TGTCATCGTTTTCCACACAAACATAACCTTTTATCATGTTATGCACGTAAAGACGTGAAGGTTTAGGAGAATAAATGAGAGCACAAGTTATAAATCACCTGTATTTCTGTTTGCTTTTACACTGTCAAAAAATATAATGTCTGTATGGTGAGCTATATGTGTATGTCCATGTGAATGCACTGTATTTTTTGTGTGTTGTGTTTGTGCTTAAGAAGGCACCCACCATGCTGTGACTGTCAAGGTGAGCTGGCCTTAGCCGACAGAATGGGGGCATATCTGCTTGTGCGTCTAGTTGTTTCCATGTGTATTTCCGCGCGTTTATTTCATGGAATCTTAGGGGCAATATCTTTGAGGGGGAGAAATACTGTAAAATGTAGTAGGGAATTCACAATAATGAACAGTGAGGGAAGAAGGACAAAAGGAGGCAATAATATTATTTTAGAAGTTTGATGCCAGTAGAGCTCACTTGTTTGTGTGGGTTGTTTTTCTTCTGATTTACCACTCTGTTACTAAGCGGAGCAACCTCTTTGCTGATTGATGACATCACCAGACTTAATCAGGAGGGCTGTAGAGTGACATCATCACATCACCAGTCTGGGCTTTTACATCTGTCTCACTCTACATGCGCACAGATGTGAGCAAACACACACATGCACACGCACACAGAGCTGTTTTGCATCTTTCAGAGCTCATTGTGAAGTCTTATAATGTGTGTCAGTGTTAATTTAGTGAGCTGCAGTTTCAGAGTCAAGCATCCATATGTACGCGTGTGTATATGTATGTGTGTCTAAAGGTTCCCCATGACTGCCGAGACTCAACATTTGATTTGCTAAAAGGAGCAGGACACTTCTATTAATCAATATTTGCTGACTACTGGCTGCCTCTCTGGCTGATTGACTGGCTGTGTAGTTACTTGACTCACTGATTGGCTAACTAACAGACAGAACGGCTAACTGCTCGACTGGTTGGCTAAATCTCTAAGTGAAAACCGTTTAAAACATGTCCAAAAGAGAAACACCAGAAGAAACGAACACTGGCTACAAAATCTGAGGGCGACTTTCCTCTTTGGCTGCTTTACTGCGATATGTCAACGTTTGTAGAGAGGCACATTTCAAATAGCGATCAGGATAATCATCTGAATCTGAACACATAAGCAAAACCAACGAGCACTGGCCTTCCAGTCAGTGGTCGCTGGCTGGGAGGATGTGAGAAGAGGACCATGGGAGGGGATAGGGGTTGAGAAATGATGGTGACTTGATAATGAAGAGGTTAAGAATACCACAGAGAGAGAGGGTGGGAGGTCAGGTCAGGGAGGGGGAGAAAATGAGGGAAAGACAGAAAGACACAGAGGGATAGAGAGCAAAAGGAGGACGTCACGGGACAGTTTTAAGAGGGAAGGGTGGGGGGGTGGGGTATTTAGCCAATGGGTCAAAACAGTATTGTGTTAAATGCTCTCTGGGAGTATCTAGGTTATCTACACTGTTCACGTCCCATTTCCTGTTCTTTCAACGCATGTGTTATTCTACACCTGAACTTTGCCACTATTATACCTGTGTACGTTTCTAATCAATTACTAAAATACTTTCGGTATGGCAAGTTGTATAAATAAGATTATATTTTGAATAATCATCAACATAGAACAACAGAAAAAAGAAAATAAAGAGACAAAGAGAAAATAAAGAGAGCAATCAAACATCTCTCAAGAATGAAATAAAGTCTGGTAACAGCTGCAATAAATGACTAAAGAACAGGGCATAAGAGAAAAAATAAAATAAATGTCCATTTGTAATAACTAGCAGGGAAGAAGGAATATGTTACTTACTAGGGGATAAAACAGAAAAAAAGAGCATAAGTCAAAATTTTCTAAAGCGGTTATTGGCTTCAGCTGTAAACGTTACACAGTGTTATTTGTTTTGAATAAGCCTACTCATATAATTAATGTACAAAATTACTTTAAGAGATTCATTACGCTTGATATATAAATTCAAAATAGCTTTTTTGAAGTACAAAAGCTAAAGCACACTGCGAATGTGATAACAGCTGAACCTCAACTATGCTCACACCAGAGTGTTTTAACCCCCAAGTTCATCTCCAAATCCAGAGGAATAGAGGGGGAAAAGGGAAAAAACAATAAAGAGACATATTAAAGACAGTGAATGTAAAAGAAAAAGAGAAAAGTATGCAGAACAAGAAGGAAGTGTTCCTCACCTGTTATTCCATCACCACCAAAGTCCAAACCCCTTCTTCTCTATCTCCATAAAGACCGATTAAATAAACGAACCGATGGCAAACCCCTCTTCACCTCCCATCCCCCATTTTTTTACAACTCAATCATGCCGTGCTACTGCTGGCACATAGACTGCTTATCCCGAGTGTCAAAATTGAAAGGGGAAAGAAAGAAAAAGAGGAAGAAAGACTGTAAGAAAAGAAAGAGCAAGTTAGAGGAGATAGGGAAGCAAGAGAATAGTGGAGGGGATGTGGGGGGTGGCCCAAGAGCAATTTCTTTCGTGAATAAAGACAGAACAGGGGAGGGGGGATTGTGAAAAAAAAAGCACTAATGGCAAGGCCTCTAGTTCTGTTAAAATAGACGGCGTTATAGGTTCTAGCTCTCATTCGTTGATTCATTCATTTGTTCGTTCCTTGCTCTTTCGTCAAGTCAAGTGCTCGCTTGTCTGTCTCGCTCTTTTGTGTTCATGAGTCTAGATAAGAGCTGCTAGTATGACTGCCCGGTAGTCATTTAGCTATTATGGAAGGAGAGAGAGAGAGAAAGAGAAAGACAGAGAGAAAGAGAGAGTAAGAAGAAAGAAAAGAGGATGAAAAGACTAATTCTACTGACAGATAAATGGCTCATTTGAATGGCCTTTCTTTCTTTTAATTCACTCTCTCATTTGCTCCTGTTTAAATATTTGCTGTTCTTCCCCCGCTCTTCTCACCTGACTGCTCTTCTTTCCTCCTTCAAACACGCATACACACTTGACGATGACATGCAGCCTAATACGCAACTGGAGTTGTCTCTTTGAGAGCTATTAAAATGAGATCTTCGCTTTACTAATCCATATTGGATGGTAAGGCCTTTCATGGCCTCTGAATAATAACTTCTGATATTTCCACAGGCCTGCAGTTTCAGAGTGTGACCGTTTCCTGCTCACGTACCACTGTATGAAAATGTGTGCACGTTTGGAGTCATTTGTCTATGTCTTGTCACCGTTTGAATCAGCAAAAAAGCCTTATGTGGCACATCTGTGTTTATATATTTGCCCGCATTTCATCACTCTCTTTGAAACACGCGGATCTGTGAAGTACACGCGCATGATTCCTTGTGGGATAACCAGATACACTCAGTGTGTCTGAAACCTCATTTTCCTCTCCTAATGACATATCAAATGTTTGCATAAGGCCATATCAGTATGGAAATCAGCGTGCACACACATAAGTCTTAGAATAAAAGAACCAATCAAAGAGATATGCGTGAATATGTGCGTGTGTGGTGTCAAAAGTCTCTAACGTCGGGTGACTGTGTGTGTCAAACATGACACACACACTGACACACACAAACGCGCGTACCCTAGCCTTGTTATCCGGGGGCCTGTCTTGCAGGCAGCCTCTCTAACGCTGAGTGATGTTTAAATTAGTTTACAATTTAGGCTCCTCGCTATCCACAGACGGCTCTTAACTCAGTGTGTGTATGTGATGTGTTTTTCTGGGTGTGTTTGTGTGTGTGAGAGCGTAACAAATTGTTGCCAGTACGGCAGACATCTAATGACTTCAAATTAGCTGCCTGGCGCTTGCCTTGACACGTTGTTACCACTGTTAGCAGCCTTTGTGTGCGTGTATGGGTGTGTGCGCGCGTGTGTGTATGCGGCACATCGCAGCCATATCATGAAGCATAAATTGGCTTCACCTCCCCTCTCTCTGCCTCTGTCTTTTTTTTCTTTGTCTCTCTGTCTCTCTCCATCAATTTAATTAAAAAAATTACTGTACCATGGAGAGCAAAGACTTGTGCATGTGTGTGTTCACATGTGCAACCTGCAGAGAGTCACCACACACACACACATGCACGACAAGATGTGGAACAAGATGGCTGAAAAAAGGTTAACAGGTCTATCTGACTCTATTCTTTGTGTGTGTGTGTGCGTTTGTGTGCATGTGTGTGTGAGAGGCTGATAAAGAACGTTGAGGAGGCGTATTTCTTTCTGACAATCCTTTCCAACCTGAGTGAACAGTAGATCACTTTGTGTGTGGACATGTATGGGTGTTTGTGTGAGCTTGGTGTGAGTGTGAGTATTAGATAGGTGTTCAGCGCTGTAAACAGTGAGGATTTCATAAGGTGTTCACTTCACACAAACACACACACACACACACACACACACACACACACACACACACACACACACACACACACAGGGAAGATGAAGAGTTCTATCTTTCTCTGTGAGCAGTGGATTGCCTTCCTCGTTCATCTAATCACGCCATCTTCTCTCCTCCGCCAAGCAATCGTTGCGCTTCGCTCGCTTTATACAGAAAGCTGCACACACACACACAGACACAGACACACACACACACACACGAACGTACATGCCCACATGCACTCTGAGCCCAGTACATAACCTGCCTAACTTGAGCCACTTACTTGTAAAAAGGGTAAGGACAGAGAAAACACAGGCATGACTCAAAACAACAAATTAAATTAGATTACATGTGTGCCTGTGCATATATTTGAGTCCTTTTGTGTATGTACATATGGATGTTCAGCATAGTCTTGTTCAATAAGTTTTTATTCGCTGAAACAAAAGCTAAACATTTTGCCATAGACCTCATCTTGAATCACTTGAGTTATTATGTTAATTTTGCAATCTTGTACTCCAGCTCCAAATTTTATCAGATTACGAGAGAAAAAAGGTTAGTTTAAGTTAGTTTAAGAAGATTAAATTCTTAAATTCCTCGCTTTTAGTAATGAACCTGTGAGAGAAAGGGCACAGGAGAATTTTCTTTTTCCCTACCTGGAATATGTTTGGCCCAACCAATGTTGACCACCAGCTCTCTGTCCGCCAGGTCACACAGCGTAGTCAGGGCCTTGATGTCGCTGTCTGGTACTGTCGGGTCCGGCATGGCATAAATCTTCTCTGGCTCAGCCACCAGCAGGTGAGATACGATTTTGTTATCTGCAAGGCAGCCAAAGGCAACTGACATGACCACCAGACAAGGAGAAAGACACAGAGACAGAGAAATGGTGAATTTTTGTCGTGTAAGGCTACAAGTTGTTTCACCCCAGTCCGGTACAAAAATATGAAAGGTCATGTGCAAATCTCATATTATGGCCTGCTGGTAACACATACGTCTTAAGCTATATTTAAGACAAACACGCACAGTGGACAAATGAAGGAGAACTGGTGGATCTATTTTGATAGGGGGTGCATTTTGCTTGCATTGTTTAGGACCACATCTCCCCATGGAGTGAACAGTGATTGCAAATTAATGATCACCTAGGTCACTAAATTGTTCCGTAAAATGATGTGAATCGTATGCTTTCACCTTGGAGTCATCCCACTGAAGAACTATTGCAGATTTTGGACCAATATATCACATGGTGCTCTTTTTCCCTTTAATTTCTCACCTGTCTGTATTCCCATACGCAAAAATGAAGCATCTGATGTAAATTCAGACTCGTTAGGAGTATGAAACGTTAGGAGTATGAAATCAACACACAATTTTCAGATGTTCACGTTGCAATAAGCATAAATTTAAAACCTTTCAACCCTTGAATCTGCCAAAAACACACCATTCCTTCAAAAACACCAAATTTCAAGTGTTGATCTTATCTGAAAGCCTTTTTAGAGTTTAGCACAAAACATAAAAAAGGACTGCACAAAAAAAATCAAACAAGGTATTGAAATGTTTTAAATATAAGCGATTCTCCAGTGGTTATAGCCTTCTACCACCAGTTGATCCAAGATGCCCAAAACTGTTGTTTTGTAAGACAGTCTTAAGAAGTTTCACTGATACATACAGCAGGGAAAGATAACACTGAAAGCCAAACGGCTCAGCCGGTAATGGTGACATGTGGTGATGAGACCTCTATGGCCCATTAGTAACAGACTGATACCCTGCTTCCAAATTAATCCACTGACTAATCAAGCATGGGAATAATAACAGAGGATAGAAGCGCAAGAGTGAAGTGAAGGATAGAAAAAGAGAGCAAGATTAGCAATGAAAAAATGGGAAAAGATAGAAAGGTAGAAAGTGAGTCATGAATAGATTGTAAAAGACAGACAGGAGGAGTCCAGAGAGCGACAGCTAGATAGAGATAAACAGCAAGAGAGAGTGAAAGAGAGTTGTGGGGATGAGTTGTGTATTGATCTAACACTGTTCACCACCCCCAATTCTCTTACATACACCCACACATACACAGTGTGTGAGTGTATACATATACTGCAGTATCTGTGGGTAAATCTTATTTAATGTTTCCCTAATTAGAATCAATGGAAGCCCATTTCCAAACCCTGGGCTATTGTTCTGTTCTCACACAATCAATGGGGACGCTGAAGCTAGGGATTGGGCAACAGATAGATAGGCTGTGTGAGTGTATCTGAGGGAGAGACAGAGGGACACAACGTGTGTGTATTGACTGTGTGAGAGAGAGAATGAACAAGAGAGATAAAGTAAGTCTACATTAACTGTAATGTATTTTTTTTAAAATGTGCAAATTTGATTTTAAGTTGGACAGATTTATCTTCATGGAAATAATCATTCATATTATGGAACAGATGTAACTAGCACAGATTAAATACATATTTTTTTCCTGTATTCTCTTCCAAATTATGATGCCTGATAAGAATAGTTTAACAAGACTAAAAAGAGTTAAATATAATTTTAAATTAAATAGCCTGCCAAGGAAGGCCTTCAGATAGCTCACAGGTGCTTTGTGTAAGCAAACACACACAGTACAAACACACACACACAGTGTACACATATTCACTTTATCCCATCATTTCAATGATTAGTAGTGCAAAAGTCCCAGTAAGCTGTTGTGCAGCCATTCAGCATATTGGCCTAAACCAGAATATGCTCCAGCTTTAAGCAAAATGGGCTTTGGGGACCAAGCTGCTAAACACTGCTCAATCTGCACTGCATATGGGTGTGTGTGTGTGTGTGTGACGTGTGTGTGGAGGCAGACGGTTAGCTAGAGAGCTAACTCTAGTTTGATGCGGTTGCCAGATTGGATTTAATCCGGATTAGGGCTCTGGCTGGTCTCCCTCCCTCCTTTTCTCTCACCCCTCTTCCCTCCTCTCTCTCTGAGAAACAGCCTTGTTTAGACTCGGTCTTTCTCCCTCTCTGTCTCTACCTGTCTCTCTGTCACTCTCACTCACTCTTTCCCTTGTTAATTTTTACTCATCAGGCTTTGGCTGCGGTTTTATTCTTTAAAAAACTGCAGCCAATCCAACTGGTGCTAAATGAATACCTTTATGGTGAAATATTACACATATAAAATGTTATGATCCCAAACTGGTAGCAGCAGAAACAGGGAGATAAACACGGTCCCAAACAGATGGGCTTCTCACTACTGTGTTTCTGTTTATGTGTGTGTGTGAGTTGAAATGTTTTTACTGGCCAACTGTTTCCATTAGGACAGAAACTGATGGAAAAGCAATTCCTTTCACTTAGGGGCTCTAAACAATGACTCCTGGTTATTGCTTGAGCACTGTCTACTAAGGTAATACGATATTTTGTTGAAAATTATTTTGTGTGCAGTCAGTTGCCCCCCCATTTTGTAGTTTCTTCCACACACGACATCAGATCCTCTGCACATCTAGTTGTTAAAGTCAGCACGCATGTGTCCTTGAAAATCCCACGTCAACTTTGTAGAGAAAAGCACCATCTTACATGTGTTTTTTTTGCATGTGTGTTTTCTTACATGGCTTCTTGGGGGGCAGAGCCAGCTGTGGATTCAGGTACGGGCTGTTGTCTGCATCTATCCGACGTTTGTACTTCTGTCTTCCACCGCGAACCCTGTCCAGACGAACACCTGTGAGAAATGACAGAGAGAAGTATGTATCAATATAGTGTACATTACACAAAAAATAAAGACAGATTTTAATCTCTTTGAGTAGTTAATGATGGCAAGAAAAATGAGACTCGCATCGCCTTCTATGCAAGCAGATAGTAAAAGGAGGAGGGAGATGGATCTTTGATTTACAAGGCTGGGTCTGTATGTATGTACGTGTTAAGTATTCACTCTTTTGTTATTCTTAGGCTTGCTAAACTCACTTTTTCTCCTTTTCTTCTACAACAAGACTAATTTATAGAAGCCATTTGAGTAGAAGGCCCCTCTTGCTCACTTTGACTCTCTGGCTTTCCGACTCTTTTACTGTCTCTTGCCCAATCTTGGTCTCTCTATTGCTGTCTCCCTCTCTGTCTCGTTAATTAATTGACACAAAGGAGTCCTAATTTAATTAGACCTATCTCTCAGGGGATTGGATGTTACCGTGGTTACCACTTAAAGATGGATAAGAAAGACAGAGGTGTCATGTACCCTGGAGGAGGAGAGAAGAGGAAAGGAGAGGAGAAGAAAGGAAAGGAAAGGATAAGAGGGTTTAAGAGGATGCCAAATCTTTAGATGAGTCTAGGCTTCTGCTATTAAGCAATAAAATTAGTAACTTTAGGAGGAGATACAAAATTAATTACTAGAATGGCTGCAGAATGAGGCCCACCATGTGTATCTCATCTTTTAGATATTAAATTAGTAATCAGACTTTTATACAATGAATTAAACTCACAATTTTAAAGGCTTTGGCTTATTTTAAACATTAGCGCACACTAGCACCATAAAATATACTGGATGCTGTGATATACCAAACCATATTATGTTGAGGGTGAACAGAGAGCAGGGGAAACTGCAAAGTATTAGAAAAGAGACTGAACTCTATAGTGAAAGCATGTAAATTAGGTAAATAACGTTAAACACATTTTTCTGGCAGTCTTTCAGTTTTGTGCATCTATCCATCCATCCAAGAAGTTGGAGAGAAAAAGGATGGACGATGGAAAGGAAAGCAATAGGCGTGTGAAAGCAAGAGAGAGATTTGCTCACATAGAGACGTTTAAATCCTCTAAAAAATGTGCTGACCACATTCATGACAACAAACCTCAAGAGATTTAACAGAAAGACTTCTATTGGCAGCAGGAGAAAAATGTCAGGGAGCATCTTTGTGCATTTGTAAGTCGATATGTTCTCCTGTTTTATATGAGTTTGTTTATTTGAACGTTTTGAAAACTACCTTTATTCCAAATATGTCATGTTGGCATGAGTGCACATGGAAATATATTCATTTAAAAATTCGTAATGAGCTCAGGCAGTAGTCAAACCAGTGAACTGAACATTACATGCATCTGTCTGTATGTGTGAAAATGCCTGAGACAGGGACAGGTAGACAGAAGGGCTGACAGTCCAGGTACAGTGGGGGGGCCAGTGTCAGCAAACGGTCAAGAGACTCTTAACACCAGGGGGTACAAACCACTCACACACCCACTCTTTGCTTTTTCTAGCACATACACACTTATACAATGTCTACACCTCGCTAACCCACACATCTATGTTGTGTTTAGGTAAGTCCAGACAAGCAGCTTTTTCAGCTGCTACCTGCATCAGTGGTTGGCCAAAAAATGAAAAAATAAATGGGGGCTGATAGAAACAGAGGGCAGGAAAAAGGTAAGTGTTAGGATGAGAGAAAATTATTGACTAAATGAAACAAATGGGACATAGCTTAAAAGAAGCATGTCAGTGATTTAAAGCTTCGAGATTACAGATTCATAATATAGTGACATATTGAAACAGACTAACACAAAACTTGTGGTTCTGTCAAAAAAAAAAAGATTTGGGGAAAATGTTTCATGTGTCTCTGTGTGTATTTATGAAACACCTGTAACTTCTGCTTGTTCCGCAGTGCACAAAGACACTGTGCAAACCACCACAAAATACATAACTATGGTATAACTAGCCATGCTAGTAATATACTGTAAGAAAGCAGCATAATATTAAAGCAGAAGAAAACTGAATGTTATGTTACTCATGGGAGCAGTTAAACTAACTAAGGCAGTTTCCAGGTCAATCGTGTCCTTCCCTGTCAAGGACAGTAACAAAAAGCAATAAGCTTTATTAATTTCTGCCCAGATAGTGCTATTACACGGTGCAGTTAGATTCTAAGATTAAGTACTTTTTCTGTATTTAGTATTGTTGTTTTTGTCTTGTTCTTTTGTTTTTTACATAAAAATGTAATTCATCAGCTGAGAAGGGCAGATACTCACATGTGGTATGTTTGCTTTGCGAATGTATTTACATCACAGTATGTTGTATTTTTATATAAACCAACATTAGGTTGTAAGTTCAGATACTAATTTCTTATGTAATTTGTTTGCAATTTGTCTGATGTGTGCTGTAAACCAGAAAAGTTGAATGTAACAGAGGCTGGGAGAAACTGCTAGTCTTGTCACACTTTCAAACTACTTTCAGTTACACTGAGGCTTTTTTCTCTTGTACATAATATAAACTCTTACATGCAGACTCTTAATTTTACTCTTTCTCTTTCCCATATACCTAAAAGACCCAGTGCTGGGCTAAGCTCACTTCATAAAGAGCCCTCTCTAACTACCTCATCTATTTTCCACCAAATTAACTCTCTCTCAGCACTGATTAATGATCAAATCTAAATGAATCAAATTAAAAATTGAAAATTATATTTCCAAAGCCCACAAAAAAGAGACAAGAGGAAGCTAGGGGAAGAGTGAGAGTGGGCTACCTCCTTTTAACAAATGAGCCTTCAAATCATAAAGAATGAGCAAGAGGGGAGAGGAGGAAAGGAATGTGGAGAGCGGAAAGAAGAAACGAGTAGAGAGGGAAGAGGGAAAAAGGCAACGGGAACGTAAATTTAGCGATCAGAAAAAGAATTAATGCATATAGAAAAAAAAAGGGCAAGGGCATGGAAGAACAGTAAAATGGGAATTGGGAAAAATTGAGTTTGAATAAATAAATGCTAAAACACATTAAGCGATTATTACAAAATAGTGTAGCAAAGGGGGAACAGAGGGAAGAAAGTAGTTTACAGGCTATGAAATTATAGGAGAAGGAGAGAGTAAGTCCCAGCTAGACAACTTTTCACTCAAACACACAAACAAGTATCTAACAAATACCACAATTTGTTTTGCATCACAAAACATTTTTGTTATGAATGTCAGATGCACATGAAACTGCGCAATTAATACTGCATATTTACCTTTTCAAAATACAGTAGGTTAAGCTACATGCCTTGATTATACCACTTTTGTCATAGTCTGTGCACATTCATATACACACCCAACTGACTGACTCTGTGACAGTGATGAAGGTGAATCATTCCTATCGTGGGAATATTGCTGTCTGTCAATAGCACGATCTGCACTGATCACATCAGCATAGATTTTTACACTGCACTGGCGTCACTCTGTGTCAGCGAATGTGTGCGTGTTCTTGAACAGTTGAAGGATTACGAGCCAAATGCCTTTGACATCTAAGTGTGCATGCAAGAGAAAGACAGAGGAAAAAACAAAAGAGGGTGGACAGAAAAACACAATGTGGATTGATTTCAGATGATCAATGTCATGATAAGAGAATGAAAGAAGGAAAAGAAGTGAGAGGTATGGAACAAAGTGAAGAGAGGAGTAGGTAGACAAATAAAATATCTGGATTTTGGTTGAGAAAGAGAAAGAGGCATCACAAAAAAAAATAAAATAGAGGAACGCTGAAAAAGTCAAGACACAAGGAAACTGGACGAGGACAGTATAGAATGATAGAAGTGGTAGTAATTTTAAAGCTGTAAAAAAGCTGAACACCTTCTCCCTGTCTCTGACCTATTGTGTGTTTTAAACTGCAGTGTTGATGAAATGACATCCAAGATTGTCCCTACGTAGGATTAAGAACGTCTCAGTGAATTGACTGGGAAAGACAACAGACCTGTATAGATCTAGTGTGTGTTTTATAGTGTGATACATATGATCAAGTATTAAGAACTGGTTAAAGCCTAAGCCCTACAGTCAAGTAATGTTTATAATCAGGGCTAGTAGTGTCCTACAGACTAAAAAGTCTAAAGGAAATGTGAAAAAAAAAGAAGATAATCAAATTTTTTTACTATCACTATAAACCTATAGGGAAAATCTGAAATGTGTTCAATACAATTGGGTTACAAAGTTACAAAGTTACAAAGTAATGTAACTGATGTTCCAATGCTTCAACATCAGAAAATCAGAAAATCAGGTTATGCTGCTCAAATAAAAAAAAACAAAAAAATGTAAGAAATAAAAATAAAGAAGCGAAATGGACGTGATGAAAATTGGGAGAAAAGTGTGTGCGGTGATGTTTGTTTCGACCAGAACAGATCAGAAGAGCATTGCCCAAGGCAGTGGGCAGGTGGCTGTCACTGGTGTGTGAATCTGTGAGCGTGCGTGAGCTCGAGTGAGATCCTTAAAACGTGGCTTTATTTTTGCTTTTTAAGGCTGTGTTCTCATCTTCTGTCACTAATATTCCTCTTACATAAATAAATATCTTTGACTGTTGGATAATAAAATAAACAAGCTGCTGAGTGATTTTGGGACATTTGGAATGTGTCTTTTTTACAAATTTTCTTTACATGCCGTCCTTGAACGTAGGAAAAATTTATCTTCAGTGATTTGTTCCACCGTTATTTTTGCCTTCAACACAAATTACCGTCTCTGGTGTCATCCCTAATGAACTGCTGGAAAAAGAGCTGACCCACTTTGGAAAGTTCGCTGGTGGCTTTAGAACAGTTTGTTTCCACTGCAAAGACGTCAGACTACAGCGCATTCAGTCTCTTCTGAGACATCTACCTGAATGCCTCTTTTCCAGACTCAGGAGGTATCTTTCAAAGTCAATTATTAAAATGCCGGTTTATGAAAGCTTTGCCAGTATGAAATGTTATGTATAGTATGACATTGGACACAAATGCTATTCGTGTCTGCACAAAGGACCCCCACACACTG